TATATTCCTCAAAATTTGAAAATCTAAAGGAAATGGACAATTTTCTGGACAGATTTCACTTTCCATAATTAAATCAAGAACAGATAAGCAACTTAAATAGACCTATAACCTCTAATGAAATTGAAGCAGTTATTAGAAGTCTCCCAACCAAAAAAAAGCCCAGGGCCAGATGGCTTCAGTGCAGAATTCTACCAGAAATTCAAAGTACAGCTAATACCAATTCTCCTCAAAGTATTCCACACAATAGAAGCAGAAGGGTCATTACCAAACTCTTTTTATGAGGCCACAATAACCTTGATATCCAAGCCACACAAAGACACAACTAAGAAAGAGAACTACAGACCAATATCCCTCATGAACATTGATGCAAAAATTCTCAATAAAATATTGGCAAATTGAATCCCAGAACAAATCAGAGAAATCATCCATCCCAATCAAGTAGGCTTCATCCCAGGGATGCAAGGATGGTTCAACATACGAAAATCCATCAATGTAATCCACCATATAAACAGTGTGAGGAAAAAAATCACATGATCATCTCACTAGATGCCGAAAAAGCCTTTGACAAAATCCAACATCCCTTCTTGATGAAGGTGCTGGAGAAATCAGGGATAACAGGAACATACCTCAACATAATAAAAGCAATATACAGCAAGCCAACAGCCAACATCAAATTAAATGGAGAGAAACTCAATGCAATTCCTCTAAAATCAGGAACAAGATAAGGTTGTCCACTCTCTCCATACCTCTTCAATATTTCCTTGAAGTTCTAGCTAGAGCAATAAGTCAACAAAAGAGGATCAAGGGAATACAAATCGGAAAGGAGCAGGAGGAAGGGCACAGTCCACAGCATGGGGGACACAGCTCCTGACCCTTACCATGGGGTGTCCCTGCCTCGGGTCTTATTGTATCCACTCCTCATGCCAGACACAGAGCCTTTCCTATCACTGTCTTTCTATCCATGATGGGCTCTGCTACTCCCTCAGCCTTAGTGTTGATGGTCAGCTTAGAATGGAGGTTTGTTTATGCCCTGAGGAGCCATCTGGAAGAAGTGCCTGCCGTGTAAGGGGGAGGTCTGCTTAAGGGAGTCTTCCAGGCTGCAGAAAATGCAGAGGCTGATTCCTAATCAGTGAGCAAATGGCATCTCCTCTGTGTGTTGCACCCAGCCCATTATGAACCATGAGGAAATAGTGAGACAACACTTATAGGTTCCAAAGGTTTAAATTAATTTAACTTAGTAATTAGCCACATAATCAGGTCACTGATGAATCATCATGGGTCTGACCTAGGCCCTGTGCATCTGTGTGACAGCTGTGTAGCTTGGTCTTTAGTGGGGCCCCTAGCAGTGGAAACAAGACCTGTTCCTGATGCATGACTTGGCTCTTTGGAACGTACTCCCGATGGTGGGATGCCTTGTTCAGCCTTGATGCAGCAGGGAGGAGCTTGGTCCTGCCTCAGCTTGATTTGTTGAATTCAATGGGAGGGTTAACTTCATCTGAGTAGAAAAGGAGTAGATGAGAGGGGTATATGTGAGTAAGAAGGAGGGAGCAGGAGGAGAGGAAAGAATGGAAAAAGTGGTTGATATGTAAAAATGATGGAAGAAAAGAATTTCATCACATCACACACAGTCAGCAAACAAGAGAATTGTCTACAAAAGCCTTCATTTGCAGGCTTTTACTCTGCTCAAATTCAATGTTTCCAGTCAGGACAGTCTGCCTAAACAATGGTGCCATTTGAAGTAGTCTTCCCACATCAAATAGTTAAAACAGTTCCTCAGGTCATTCTAAAGTCGATGGATTCTTCTTTGAGACTCCCTTTTCAGGAGATCCTATGTTGTATCAAGTTGTCAATTAAAGCATGTCATCACAACATCATCATCATCATAAAATGTGTTGGAATAAAACATTTTGTAGCATTAGACAATAACCCTTAAGACCTGTACTACAAGAGTAGAGATCATGCATGCTGAGCCTAGGGAGACCTGGTCATATGGTACAAAAACAGCAGTTATAAGACTGCATCAGTGTGTTTCTGTTCTACTTCCACATCTGCATGTGCCATTGTGGAAATGGTCACTGTGCCACAGAGCACAGTAATACACAGCCTCATCCTCAGGCTGGGCCCCTGTGATGGTGAGGGCAGCCTTGTCTCCAAGCAGGGAGCCTGAGAATCGGGCATGAACACCTGGGACTCTGTTACTGGTGCCACCTATCAGACCAGTGTGTACTTCTTGAGATTTTTCTTGGACCCAGTTGGCATAGTTATTGGTGGTAACTGCCCCGGTGCTTGAACCACAGGTGAGTGTGACTGTCCCTCCAGGAGTTGTGGTGAGTGAAGATTCCTGAATCACAGCAAACTGGGAAATAGCCCCTGCCAACAGTTGAGAAAGAAATCAGTTGGTCAATAACAAAGCAGACACAGATGTACACTGTTGCATACCCACTCCAGTCCAGAAAGTCCCACTGACCTGTGCAGTGAGCCAGAAGTGTGATCAGGAGAGAAGTCCAGGCCATGGCTCACAGTCTAGGTCTGTTCTTTTCAAGATTGCTCAGCACAAGGAAGTGCCACTATAGTACCACAAGGAGTTACTATAACTCCTAACATGACAGGGGGTGTGCACATCAATGCAAATGAGCTCTTATTCCAGGTTGATTAAATGCTGTCAGGTGAAAGTTATTGAGTTGACACCAGTTAATGATCCCATATTAATAAGAATGAGGGTCAGGAGCATAATTTTTCAGCTGCTTTTGTTTTTCTGGAGCAAAAAGTATCTAGTCTCTAGTGTCCTACAGGGTCTTCAGTAGGACAAACCATGCTCCACCAAGTCTTACTTTATAGACAGTAAGAATCATTGTAATGTGCAGGACAATATAAAAAGAAGTGACTAAGGAGAAATGACCAAAGTAACTCAAAGAGCTCGCAGTAAGTGAGGTAAGAATGGGAAAATGATTTGAAGTTCAGTTGTTTTTTATCACACTTTTCATCTCATTGAAGATGACTGTGTATAGTATAATGAATCTAAGTCATTATATCAAATCACGATGAAGCCTCATTACAAAAGCACAGGAAAGAATTGGTGACTGGAAAGATAGTACCAGAATCTGGCAATGATGTAAAGCAAATGGATTTCTTGTGCACCACTGAAAGTAGCAAGCATTTAAAAAACATTCCATTTTAGCATTAGTATCACTCTTTCATATGGCTTATCATGTTGCTCAAGTGTGTTCATGAAGTAACACATGGAGACATTAATACAAGGCAGAATTACTCATGGTTGAGATAACCCAGAGGTGTGTAAAGTAGCAAAGAATCCATAGTATAGCTGTGTAATGATGCCCTGCACAGAAACTGGAAAGGATCAAGAGCATGTACACACAAGCATACAGCTGTGTCAGGTATCTGAAGTTGGTAACATTGGAGTGTAAGTGCCTGATTCTGAAATGATGGGATGGAGTGTTAAGACACAAAGCATATGACTGGATCCAAGCTTTTTGATGAATGTACAGGTGAAAATGTAGGGTATAGACACAACCTAAATTTTCATTTTGTAAATAATATATATTTATATATATTAATTTATATATATTATAAGTTTATTTATATATTATAAGTTATATATATTATAAGTTATAATATTTTATACATTTATATATATTAATATATATACATACTCAAAATGAGCATTTTGTATAAATTGTACATGTATACACTTGCCACATTTTGTCTCCAACATGGGTATATATTTTATGACAATTGGACATCAATAAAATTATTTTAAATCTATACCAATAATAAAATACTGAAAAATATAGACACCAAGCCCATTTTAGAAATTCAGTCCCAAAGATTGTCAATTGACATAAGCTTACCAAAACAGAATAATAAATCAAATCATTTGCCCTTTTTTTGATCTATATGAGACATTGAATCATTTCTCAGACAATGTTAACACATCAGAAGGGTTTTGAATTTTCCTGGATTCAAGAAGCAGAGCTCCCACACTGAAGCCAACACTCAGCTGCAGGTGAGAATGGCAGATGCTCCACCTTGCATTTTCTTAGACCAACCACAAAAGGCTGAGCTGGTTCCAAAGAAGGGTAAGTGCTGTGCTTGCTGGTTCCCCAGTCTCCTGGGAACCCAGAGACAATCAGACACAGCAGCTGAAAATCTAGCCACCCAGGAACTCCATTATTGCCCACACAGAAAGCATATTTTAAAGCAAAAATTAAAAATTAAAAAAAAACACAACGCAGGGTGTGGACAACAACCAGTCAATGGTTTTAAAGTTCAGCCTATCATACACCTAGGAACCCTACGCTTTACCTAGTGAACAGGAGCCATTCATGCACTGACCTCATCTGGTTTGATCTTAGCAACCAATCACCCTTTTTTGTAAACATTTCAGGACTCACCCTCCTGACTTCCCCACACACACACACACCACCTGTAACTGGCTTGTGTGCCCTTCAGACCTGAGAAATCACAGCTTGGCAGAGGGAACCTGGAAACATGAGAATGAAAGCAGTAGGGACCAGAGTAGGACAGAGCTGTTCTCATGTCTTGCTCGTGAGACCTGCTGATCATGTACATTCTTACCTGTGACTTGAGGGAAGAGCAGGAGGAAGGGCCCAGTCCACAACATGAGGGACACAGCTCCTGACCTTTACCGTGGGGTGTCCCTGCCTTGGGTCTTATTGTATCCCTGTCCTGAGCCAGACACATAGCATTTCCTGTCACTATGTCTCCATCCATGATGGCTCCTCCCTCAGCCTTAGAGCTGATGCTCAGCTCTCACACACTTAAGACAATGAAGGTTTATGCCCTGGGGAGCCCTCTGGAAGAAGTGCCTGCTGTGTAAGGGGGAGGACTGCTTAAGGGGGTCTTCCAGGCTGCAGAAGATGCAGAGGCTGATTCCTAATCAGTGA